ATTTTTTACTCCCCTCTTAATACTTTACATAGCAGAGCTATAAACTCTGAGAGCACTACATATGGCTCCGGCTCATTTTACACGTCTTTGCTCTGTTCTATGAGAAACTAAAGGTCCAAGTGAAACACATGAGTGGCAGAAGGGTGAAGAAGCTTGGCAGCTCTGGCTACACCTTTTATCTAATTATGAGGCATCTCCAGCACTCAAGAACTTACAGAAAGACAAAGGCAGATTATTCTTCCTCAAACAAGGAATCCCCCCAACCAAGAAACCCTGTGAGTCACACAAATACACTTTCACACATTTACAAGGGTCAGTATAGCCATATGCATAAGCAACACAGTAATTAACGAATGGAGAACACGCTCCAGTGACAGGGAAAGCTGTTTCATTCAAAAGCATGTAGCTACTTTCCAGGTTTGTTTCTACTGTTAGCAGCATAACTCTGTAAAAACTCCAAATATTTCTGGTTTAAATATCTGATTAAATGGCTTGATCTTCACATTAAGTGTTTTTTAACATTCGTGTTAATGTTACTTGCTTCTCTTTCCTTCAACTGGTATCATCTCGCTCTGCTCCTGGCTGGGGAGAGTGACTTTGCCTGGTCCCTTCAGCTCCACGTCTCGCTATCTCTGTATTTGACAAACAGTGTCTGATACCATATCCCAAGTGCTCTTCATTCACTGCCAGCTATTATTAAATAAACCAGAAGCAAAACATAAGATCCCACTGCACCTTGAATTCAGAAACTCGTCAGTTAGAAGCATTTAGCTGAGCCGCTGTTTGCTCGGTTGCACGTACTCCGAATTGCCCTCAGCAACAAAGAGACACACATAAAAAAGGAACACTGCATTTAAATGAAGACTAATTTTAAGAGCTGCATATTTAATAGAGAAAGCAGTCTCTGAAGATGTCAGCTGCTGGAGGAATGCATTGGCAAGTCATACTTGAGAAAAGATAAGCTTTTCCTAGGGGTTTTTATGGCTTCGAAGGGAAAGTGTTCACTAGACCAAGTCGATGGACAAATGAGTGCTCACAGAGAACACAACTTTTACACAGTGGTGTAAAGGAAAACCACTGTGGCTTTCTTCCCCCTCGTTGGAAGTATTTCAAAGGTCATGCTTACATACACAAGGGCTTCAGGACTGATTTTAGCAACGTAGTAAAAAACTACAGACTATGTATTTACTAGCAGTTTTGTCTGAAGGATAGCAAGAGAGACAGGAACAAACTGTATGCAGAACAAGTCCAGCAGTGTCACACAAATAGCCAAGAAGTGCCCATCACTCCAAAGCACAACAAAACCGTCACTGCTCTCTATTCCCTCTTGAGACTTGCACCTCGTTGCACACACAGAGGGCTTGGTTCATGGAGCTGAGCTGTTTGTCAGTCAGGACTGCTGAAAAGCTGTCACGCGTTCCACAAATGGCAAGCACGGCTCGGTGGGTGGTGAGAAGAGGACCTCCCTTCCTCCTTTCCTTTTCCTCCTTTCCTCCCTTCCTGGCACCCCAGGCGAATCCTGCTCCCTCCCAGGCACAGCACGGGAATTCCAGCAGCACCTGGGATCCTGGTGTGCCAACCAGAACCACCCCCAAAACCCTTAAACCTTCCCTGACTTCTAATTCATTCAGAGAACATTCAAGATGCAGCACCCACGCCCCTTTCATAGGTCCAGTTCTTAATTTTCAGGCTTCTCCAATTGTACCTGTACCAGGACGAGGACTGGGGGAGTAATCAATAGAATGAATGAAATGGGAAGATTCAGCCAACATCAGCCTCATGGGATGTAAAAATTTAAGAGAGCAGCCACTGACACTCATGCCATCATTCAGTGTACACTTAAAGATGCACCACTGACACAGACAAAAAGCTCCTTTAAATACAGCAATAAATAAAGATATTTTAAAAGTCCTACATCCCTGCACATGATTAATGGTACCTTGAAACACTCAGTAGTTTTTGGTGTACCTTTAGAGCATAACAGTGGAAAGGTATATTCTATTTGTTGATACAGAACACTCCATCCTGCTGCAAGGGTGGATTACAACAGCTAGGCTTAACCCTGGAAGGTTTGTACTAAGAAGCTTTCTTTTTTCCCCTTGTTTCAACAACTTGTTTCACTTAGTGGGCAGGACAAAAACCTGTCTTTTTTCAGATGTGTTTCTTGACGGACTACAACACAGTTACATCAGCCAAACCTGCTGTTTCTCTTCATGCACTTTTATCAAGCCAGATTTGGACACACACCTGAATCATACAGCAGATTTGGTAACTGTGACTGCACTTTACGTAGTGCTGCTTAAAGGGGAATGCTCAAGAGATGAAGGTTAAATAAATGAAAATCTACCCTTGCTACTTTTGAGCAGCATCACAGAGAAGTGGGAAAATGAGGCAATGGCTTTTAGTCCCACTGGTTTTCAATTCTATGCTCACAGCTCCTTTAATATGCTTAAAACTTAGTCCAGGTTAAGAGAAGAGAATTTGCCTGGTCAGCCCAGCAGTCAGCTCTGAAACTGGTCTGAAACTCAGTGAGGACAGCTCACACATCACCAGCCTGATACTGCAAGCTGCAGTCCCTCCAAGACTAACATCCATCTATCCATCCATCCATCCATCCATCCATCCATCCAGGTACTCATTACAGACACTTGCATCTGGAAACTCAATGCCCTGAAAAGCAGCTGTTGCACAAAGTTAGGAAGTTTCCAAAGGGGACAGCTACTTCTTGGGCCATTTCTGCCCTGCTGGCAGCTCAATCAGCAGTTAAGTGATGCAAGTCTGCAAAACCCCACCGTACTCTGCACACACCACAGAGGCTGTATGTGCTGATCTTATGCCATCCCAGACACAACCTATCCCACTTTGTTCATATCTCTTCCCATTTTGAGGTTGCTCAGCCTGAGCAAAGTTAAAGAGTCTGTATATGCACCCATACAGAAGACCAGAGTATTTTCTAAACACAGGTTTTGGAAGTGATCTGTGTCACTTTAAACTCTTTACAGCTCTCCCAAGTATCACAACAAGGAACTCGCTTGAGGAAAAGTCTTTTTATTTATACTCTTCATGTGTATAGATGTTCAGATCCCATTTCCCCTCAGTGTTAAAATCTACAGAAGCCCAGTGAGAAATCAGACTGACAAGTAAGTTTGAAAGTGCAACATAGTCAGAACTGCAGGAAACTCTCACTGTTACCATCAGTATTTTATCACTGCCACAGTTTTGAGCTGATGAAGGACTAAATCCTCAGTCTAAATGTAAACCAGAGAAGATGAGTGTGGGGCACAATGTCAAAAGCCTATCTCTGTGTCCCAGGGTTAAGAGTCTTAGTCCTGAACCTGTTCCACAGTCTTTGCATTTTACTAATGAGTTTACAAAGGGGATGAACAAGAATGGCCACAAATACACTCAGGTGAGCCCCACACCTCTGCAAGGTCAGAGGTTCCACCACTACAGGCTGCTGGTTCTGGAGGAAACCCATGGGAAATAACTGTATCTGACCCATTTCCAGCAGGCAGTTAATTATAATAGAAAACCACATTGATAAGATAAGCAGAGTGACAAAGTGACAAAGGCTGATGGGATAAAAGGTTGAAATTTCTGGGGACAATGTAGATGCACAACCTCAACTCTGGCTGTCCAACACACAGAAAACCAGATTTCAAGCATCAAAACCCCAGAGCTCTCACTAACACTGAACTCATATAAAAATGGAGGGAGAATTTAAATACATAATCCACTATAACCCACTTCAGGACATTTATGTTATGTTTTATTAGCCAACACGTAACCTTTCAGGATGACTTAAGCACTCAAAGCAGCTAGCTCAGCTGCACAGCACCACACAAGTGTATGAGGCAGATCAAGCTCTAACAGACCAAACTGCGCTCAGAAAGAACCACACTGCCTTATCAACATCCTATTATCTAACTTTGATTTACAAAAAGTCATGATCCCGTACGCTCTGATAAGAGGCTGTATCAGATGTACCACAAAACCTGAGCGCATATAGGGTAGACCTCCCAAAACAAGTATATTCATGGTTATTTTCACTGAGATTTACTTACATTGAGCTTAAGAGTTGGAACATAATGATCCTACCTACCTATCAAAGCAGCAACCAGAGAAAACAATTCACAGCACCATCCCGTTCATGCCCACAGACTTCCTAAAATCCATAGGTAAATGACATCGGCATTAGGCTCGCTTTAACCCCTGGTTCCAAGTCTTTTAGCTAAAGCCTTCAGCGGGTTTAGGTGGATTTCATTTTAAGAGGTACTGTAAAGAAACAAGGCTTCAAACCGTGCACATCTGTCATTAACAGCTCTAAACAGAACTGTTCCCAATTGGCATCTTTATCCCCCTTCAGATGGAACTGGAAAGCTTTGGCTAAGGGAGGAGATGACCTCGGGAGGAAGGATACACACGACTCGCTGACAGAGTTAAAGGCCAGCAGGTAAGAAGTGGTGACAGGTTCAGTAAGCCTTAGGTTACAATGAACTGCTGCCGGTTCCCGAGTGACCGAGGGACAGAACCCCCCCGCTCACAACTTCCTACGGCCTAACAGAGCAAAGCAAAACCAGAACAAAACCCAAGCGTGGTTTATACCTAGCACACTTTGGATCAAGTCTTCAAGCCGCAGGTCTGGGTTTAAAACGCTAAATAAGCCTCCAGCAGTAGGGGCGATGGAAAATCGACAGGAAATAGAGAAAAAAGGCCAAAAAAATCGTTAAAAATAAGGGTAATTAAAATCTAGGAGCTCCATAAGCAGAGACCTCCCTTCCCGCAGGGCCCTGCCCAGGAAGAAGGCGTTCTCCCCGCTCCCTGCCCGGGGGCACCTCACACAGTCGGGGCCCGGTCCTCACAGCATGGGGGGGGGTCGGCCTTTACCTTCCCCCTCCCATTCCCACAGCAGCACTCACGGAATTAAATCCAAATAATAATTAAAAATAATAATTAAAAATGACAATAAAGGGGAGGGGGGGGGAGGCGCCTTTCTTTACCCTCCTGGCTCGTCCCGCCGCGGCCGTCACAAGCCTCCTCCCGCCCCGCGCTCGGCGACAAAATGGCAGCCCCGGCGGCTGGCAGTCATGTCGGAGAGGGCGCCCGCCCGTCCGCAGCGCCGAAGGGGAGGCCCCCTCCGCCCATGTCGCACCTCCACACACCCGCGGGCACAGCCACACCGGGCGGGAGGGAGGAAGGGAGGGAGGCGGCCGGGATGGGGCTCCCCTCACGGCTCCAAAGCCCGCGCCCGGCCGTTCCCTCGCTGCGGCTGAGGAGGAGGAGGAGGAGGAGGAAGAGGGAGGCGAAGGGGGGGGGAAGGCAAAAAACATGGCGCCGCGTCCTACTTGCGGTGTGGCGCTGGCACCGCGGGGCCAGCGGCGGCTCGGCCGGGCGGCCTCAGTGTGCCCCCCGCGCCCCAGCAACGGGCCGGGGCTCAGCCTCACGGCCCGCCGGGGACGGCGGCGTGTGCCGCGGTGGTGGTGGGAGCCCTCCTCCCCCTTCCTTCTCCCGTCCTCCTCCTCCTGGCCCAGGAGTTTTTAAACTTTAAAGCGCAGGGTACCTCGGCCTGCCTGCCTTTGTCCCTCGGACACCGCGCTCGGCCACCGGCAACCCGCGGGGCCGCGTCCCGCCGCCTCGCCTCCGCCCTACCCCCAGAGAGGTACGTTCCCCATTTCTTCCCCTTTCCCCTTCCGCGGCGGGGCCCGGGGCGCACCTCGCCCTCCACGGCCATTATGCAAGGGCCTGGCGGCAGCGGCGCCCCGCTGCCCTGGCGACCCGGGTTCGAGCCCCGCCAGGCGGGTTGGGGGCCGCGCCTGCTCTGCTCTGTCGTCGTTCCCCCCCCCACCACCTCCGCCAGCAGCTCCATCGCGGCGGGGTTGAATTATGATCATTAACATTGTGTTATTAATATTTTTTTTGTCCTGACAAAAGTTTTTCTCGCTCTCTCGTTTATTCCGCCACACGCGGAACAACAACCTGAAGTCCGGCCCCAGGGGAAAGGGGGGGGAAACGGAGGAAAAGGGAAGAGAAGGGGGGGGGAGAGGAGAAGAGAAAAACACGCACACGCACACATCCAGCCTTTTTGTGCGTGTGTGGGGATGGAGGGGGTGGAGAGTGCGTGTATTTCGTGCCAGAATTTATTATTATTATTATTAATTCAACGCTCGCGCTACCGGCGGCGATTCCCGATCGCTGCCCCCCCCCCCTTAAAAAAAAAGACCAACCCAACCCCGCCGAGCATTGCCTTAAAAATTCTTTTCCTTTTATCTTCTCAGCATCTGGAGAGAGGGAAAAGAGGGAAGAGAGAGAGAAAGGGCGCGTTCATGAGGACTACAAAGTTACAAATATGGCTCCCCAGTCTCTCCTGCCTGATCACTGCAAAGAAACGAAGACGCACTTTAAACTAAACCGTTTCCAACTCGCTCGCAGCCCCCGCCGGCCTCTCCCTGCCCAGCACCCAGCACAAATATTTGCCAACTAAACACGAGAGAGAGGAGCCACCAACTTATTTTATTTAAACGCCCGGCAGACCTTCCCCCCCCCCCGCCCCCCCTCCTCGGGCATCGCGCTCGGTTTAAGGGGAGGGGGGGACAGGAGCAGCCGCTGCTCCCCAACATCCCTCCTTTAGACCTTAACGCGCTTGGGGCACCCCGAATCGGGGTGAGCCCCCCATCCCCTCCGCGCACAGGTAAGCACCTCAAGGGCAGCAGCGGTTTTCCCCTCGAGGGGTTGGGATGCGCACCCCTTACCAACAAAAATAAGATAATAAAAATAAACGCGGGATGGGTTTTTATTATTATCATGATTATTATTATCATTATTTTTGCGTTGCTTACATCTGAGGGCGTCCTGTTCCGCAGCTCTAAGTGGATCCTTTTCTTCATGTCCATGTCCGCGGCTGGCGGTCCCCGGCTCCGCTCGCAGTGACACCGATGCAGACCCCCCCCGACGCCGCGGTGAGGGACTTTGAGGGCTCACCCAGCTCCGCTCGGAATCCCGAGCCCCAGCACCGCGGCGAACACTAACCTGATAACTGCGGAGGCGGGCGCTCCCGGGGGCTCCGCGCTGATTGATACCGCCAACAGCCAATCGCGGCGCCGCACCGCGAAGCCGGAGCCAATAGGGGCGGGCGAGGGGAGGTGGAAGCCAATAGGGGAGCGGCGAAAGCGGCCAGGGGGACAGCCCGGCTGGGAGCGGAGGATCATTCCGTGCTGGTGGCTGATGGGGAAGGAGCGGCGGCGGCGGCGGCTCCTCCGTGGTGGGGCTGGGGCGCGCTCTGCCGCCGCTCCCCTTCCGCGCCCGGCCGGGTCCCGGGGGAGGCGCCGGGGCGCGGGGCGGGGAGCGGCGCTTAGAGCCGGAGGCAGCCCGGGCACAGGGGCGCGCAGCCAGGAGGGAGGGAAAGGTGCGGAGCGGGGCGGCGGAGCGCGGAGCAATGGCGCGGGGGCCGCCGGCGGGGCGGGGCGGCGGGCGGGAGGGAGGTGGGGCGCCGATCTCCTTAGCGGCCGTGAGGGGAGGTGAGGCCGGGCCGGGCCGAGCTGCTCCAGCGGGCCCTTAGCGGCCTCCCCGCGGCTCGACCCGGTGCGGTACCGCGTAAGGGTGCGGGTGCGTTCGGTCCGCGCGGGGTATTGCTGCTTGGAGCGGCCTTTTCGGGTTAGCGGCGTGCTAAGGGGGGCACAGGGAGGCGCTGGGACAGTGCAGTGTCGGGTCGCTGCTTTTCCTGCCTGGGAAGCTGCTTTGGAGCCGTTTGTAGCCGCTCTGAGGGTGCTTGCTTAAGGCGCTTGCTGTTAAGCACGTCTGGTGTCGGGTGAGGCGGTGGGACGGGGCCTGGGTCGGTTTCCTGGGTCGGTTTCCTGTGTCTGTTGCCAGGCAGGCTTGTGAATGAGGTGCCAGAGGTGTCCTGGCAGGACTGTCTCTCTGTGCCAGGTATCGGAGCGAAACCCCGTGCTTCTTGCCCCTACATATTTGCAACTGGTTTTAGCAAGCATAGGGGACCGGTTTCATCGGGTGCACAGGCAGAATGCACTTCATTTGCTCAGTGAGATTCCTGCGTGTCCCCTTGCGTGCAGTCACCAGGGTTTTGGTGGATTTGGTACCCTTGGTTTTGCCTCAGGTGGCTCTAAAAGCCCCTCAGAACCGGTTGTCGATATCCACAAAGGTGGGGATTGCTGGCAAACTGCCTTGTCCAACTGTTTTGCAGCGCAGGATGGAGATGCTGCTTTTCCGTGCCTTGACAGCGGCTAAACTGCGATGAAAGTGATTGACAGCTAAGCACAAGCTCTGCTGAGAGCTGCGAGAAAGGTCAAGCCAGGATCCAGCTTAAGGTAAAAAGTGGAGCTTCTAGTACAGAGCCACCAGTATTTTGCAACAGGTTAATGCTTCTATGATGTTTTTGAGCCTCATGATTTACCTATTAGAGCCGTTCAGTTTGGTTGTGTCTGTGGCATGAGCAGGTAACTCGATTTATTGCTCTGTGGCACTGGTTTCAACATAACGGAGCTTATTGCGGTACTTCTAGGATATAAACTTTATGAACTGTTTGGGACTTTGGGTCAGGGTGACTTTGACTTTAGCTCTGCTTTACATTCTCCTTCGCAGGTGTGAACAAAGGTGGCCCCTGGGCTGAGGCTTCCCAAAGGAAGGTTTGGGCTGGAAGTTTGTGTTCATGGCACAAGTGAAGACCTTTGGAAGAGAACTTTTATCATGGAAACAGAGTGCCTCTTAAGTAGCCAACATAACAGTTAAAGTTTCTGAGGATGCGGTGATACTTCTTCCTTTTTCCTTTGTTTCCTCGGATGAAAGAGTGTTGTGTGTTCTAATGGTATGGAACTGTATAAAGTGCCTCCCTCCAAAGGGCTGGGGGGAACTTACTCAAAGTTCAAACTCCCCATTAAATGTTTTAACCTGTTGGTTTTTCCTCTGTCTCATTCATGTGCATGTGCTTGTGTCACAAGGAGTTAGGAAGCCTCGAGAGCTAAAAAAGAATGGAAATGTTCCACAAATAAATGTTAAGTGATGCTTTTGCAAACTAAAGCTTCTCTTAAACAGGAACAGACAAATCTGGTCACTGGACTGATACTTTCAGGATACAAAAGAAAGTGAATCAGCTTTAAAACTGGACATGATCATGCCATTTAACTGAGGATCCCCCTTTGTAATAGAGGAGGAAAGTGTTACATATTGATGAAACACTCCTTGGTCTTAGTTGAGGAGATTTTATTAAGTGTTTCTATGAATAAAGCTGTCAAACTGTTACAGATTTCATTGATCAGAAATGCCTCCGTGTATGGAATGCTGGCTTGTCGGAGTCCTGAGCAGAGCAAGTGCTCTGAGCCCTGCTTGCACTGGTGGGAAGCTGCTCTGTAGGATCCCTGCTCAATCCCCATGTGAACATCAAAGTATCCTCTGTTCTTATCTATATGTGCTGCTTTTTAAATCTGAAGTACAAAGAAGCTCCTCTTGTGAGTAATGGTGATCACTATAGTGAATGCTTGATTTTTTTTGTATGTGGTTCACATATTTATCCAGTTTCTCCGTTGCTCCAAGTGATCTGCTGTTAACTGTCTGCAAGGGGAGTTCTGAACACAGGTCTGAAGCTGATCCAGAATCCTGGGCCAAAACCTAGCACACTGAACAGTCACTGTAGGAGCCCTTCAGTGACGGCTGAGCCTGAGTTAGGTTTTCACGTGCTGCTCTATGGTCATCGTCCAGGTATTTTCTGATCCAGCTTTAGAACCTACTTAATGTAACTGCAGTTTGGCCAGTGAGGTGATTTCAGCTGCAGTTCCTGTGTTGTTATGGATGGTTTCTTTTTTTAACCTGAATACTGCAGCCTTACATTAACACAGGCTTCAAACGAAGGGCTCCTCTGCGTTAAGCATCAGCCTCATGTGTGTAATCCTGTGTTCTGTGTCTGTACAATTGCTGGGCAGCTGAGTGTTTGCCAAAATGAGCTGCTGATTGTTTTTATTGTGGCTCATAATGCTCCTTTGTAGATCTGCTGGGGTCTTGTTTGTCCCTGCTGCATCTAGACAAAGCCTGCCTTCATGTTGGGGGTAGCATCTTCCTCAGTCACTCTGTGTATGTAGATACAGTAATTGGAAAGAGAAAATTCTGTTCTTAAATCATCCTTCTTGTCACCCTTAAGTTCCCCACCTGCAGCATAGCTGGAGGATGGTCATTGAGGGCAATGCAGCACAGTATTGACTGCTGGTATCCAGGAATTCTGGGGAAAGGGGACAAAAATAGGCATTGGGAAACAACGTAAGTTTTGTGACAACACTGGTTTATGCTTTGAGACCCTTAAAATCAATAGGGGAGTGCTGCAGGTGGAATAAAAAGAGGAGAAAGAGCAACTCCAGACGTTGGATGAGTGAGTTCCGGAGCTTATAGCTGCTCTAAGAGGCTGGATGGTGGTGCTATGCATTTGTCTGCTGTTTAAATCTCCCAGCAAGGTGTAAACTGAGCGATCAAATCTAAACCCAGAAGGGCTCTTGTCTGCTGTTATTTGCTCTTTCCTTTCTCTAATCAGCCCTTTGAGGGAGTTGAGCAAGTTCCAAACAGTGTTTTTCTGTGCTTGCTTCTGGGACCGGTGTGTAATTGCTCTGGAATACATGTGATTCCCATTGGATTCTGCATTAATTGTTCACAAACATCCCACATGTGTGTCACTACATTCTGTTTTCAGCAGTGCTTCAAGTGCGAGGTTGATACTCAGTTGGGAAGCTTGGACAAGACATGAAGAAAGGTTATTTAAACAATCTATAGCCTGGGAAGCAGCTGCTTTAAGTTGGCAGATTAGGAGAGGAGGTGAATACTTCTGATATATCTCAAAACTGGCTTTTATTTCCCCAGAGTTGAATGTAGGATGCTATTTCCCTTTTTATTTGCATGCTGTCAGGCGTACGAGTGGAGCATAGACATCCATAATTAATGAAACAAAGGAAGAAATGGTTTCACACAGTTCTGCTGGTCTTCAGGAGCAGACTGGTCAATACATACACACCCATAAACCTTCCCTAGCTTGGACACTGGTGTTTAACCTAGCTTAAGGAGCTCTGCAGGTCTCTTGCAGTAACTGTCCCTCCGTAGTTCTGTTTGCCAGATATGTGCTTTTATTTCCTACCAGAACTGGCTGTCCCAGTTGGCATAATGTAGGAGGGGGTTTAGGTGAGTTTTGGAGGGGATTTTGGTATGTTTTGTGTTTTTTTTCAGCCAGGAGACATGCTGTAAATCATCTCTTTTTGTGAAAAGGATGCTTAAGTGTGTTCATTAAGTTTATTTTTCAGTGTTTTTTAGACGCACAGGCAATTCCTCACATAAACTGGCAAATTCCTGAAGCATTCATCTTTCTATGATGAAGGTAAGATGACATCGTTACAAATAAGTGCTTTTTTATGGCTTTGATATTTCATTTTATTGTACAGGATTTAACAGATGAAAAATAATTGTTTGGTTCCAGTGGCTTCTCATATGTATTACTTAGTTTGTAACTGAATCTGCAGCCACTCTTACTGCTGTTGGTCTTCCTTTTACAAGCTGTCCCATCCATGGTCAACCTCAGAACTCTAAATCCCATGAATTAGACACTGTGAGGCAAAAATAGTCTGGATTAGCTTCATTGCTACATAAAGCTTTAGGGTGATTTGGGGGAAAAAATCCTAACTTAAAGACATAGCTTAAGTTTGAAGT